CTCAATGAAAATATTGGAGAATGCACCATTTTGCTGAAAGCAGAGAAAAGAATTAATTTTTTGCTAAAAGAGACAGACTAATGTGTAAAATTTTCATGCCAGTAATGTGAAAACAGAACAACAGATGAAAAGGTGATTAGCTGGTCGTGAGTACCCGACCGGAGGGAGGTTGACGAGCGACTAGCCATTGAGGGATGGAGTTTTCAGTCAACACAGGTAGTTCTCGAGAATTACTCACTGACAAATGGCTAATCGGTTCGGTTCCTGAAAAAGAACAATCTCTGTCTTCTATTCACTCTAGTGTGTGACATAGTGGCATGGTTCAGTTGAGAACTGGTAACAATCGCAGCGTCTAAGTTGTCTTTCAAAGTGTTTGAATGTGGTCAGCACTGGGATAATTCTTTCAGAAAAGGGTCAGCGAATCCAAAGGATGAGCGCTACTTGTTCTTATGGCTATTTCAGCTGGTGTGTGGTGTGGTGATAATGCACCAAGTCTCGTGTTAGTATTTTATTGTTTCAGTTGCCAACGATTAATTTCATGTGAATGATGGGTGCTGTTCAATATATGTTGTTCCAAACTCAGTGCATATCTCGATTGTATGTTTGTAAACGCTGTTCGTGAGTGTAATGAATTGTGAGCTGATCGTCTCATTTCGAACATTTTGTTGATTCGTGATTGGAAGTAGGTTTATTTATCAGGATTCTGGAAGCCATTCAATATTCCAGAATACTTGAAATGCTGAGCGTTTTCTGACGGATAGTCCTGAATTCACTATCATCATGTATGAATGGCTGAAGGTTTAATTTTTTGGCATAGGTGGTGATGAAATTGTGGAATCTGTTGTAGATAAATCGTGGTGTATAGCTAGATGATGTCATATATGGCGTCAACCGGATTTCGAATATATGGAAACATATTGAATTACCTATTGTAAAGAAGAACTAGTTTGATTGTACGTCGTTCTATTTGAAAAATTGATAGCGTAGATGAATAGTGTACAGTACACAAAAGTGCTGCGTCAATGGTATTTCTGAAGGTATAATGACGATGATCAGAATTAAACGGCCCTATGTATGGTTCGGCTGCTTCTTTGTGATACACCGATGTTTTCAATGTACCATGATCATTCTCAATAAGTACATCTACGGCCATATCTAACATTTCGTTGGTTTTGTTCAGTGGTTGATTCGAAGTAAAGAAGAGATCATCAATATACCTACGAAAGATAAGTAGAGAATATTGAGACAATAGCGTTTTTCTAAGACAATGCACATGCCTTCCGCAGATTTCGTTTGTACTTAACTACTGTTGAGCTAATCGTTTTTCCCATTTTCCCATGAAAACATTGGCTAAAGTCAAAGTAAATGCGGAGCTCATAGCACCGCAGACCACTTGTCGATAGAATCTTTTCTCATAAGTGAATATATTTTCTGTGAGAACGAGACGAGCTAATTTCCGAATGGCGTCAATGGGCACTGCATTCACCTTTGCCATATCCGTGTTCTAGAAGAAATTCAGTTAGACTATCGAGAGATCCTTCTTGTTGTAACATTGTATATAAATCTGTGCTGTAAAATAGCTATTTTCAGTGTATGTTTGAAGTCGTCGAATGAGATCAGCATCATCGATGATTGCAGTTGGACGAATATGTTCATCAAATAACGGTCGAATTAATCGATCAAGAAACTTGGAAATGGCAGTTGTTGGCATATGCATTGAGGACACAATCGGTCTTAATGGTGTTCCTTCCTGTGAATACAAACGGAATTTAGATTGACAGGAAAGAAAGAACTTTCAAAAGTTACCTTATGTGGTTTTGGAACAAAATACAGATAAGCTAGTTGAGCGTCCTCTCGTTTCGGTATCATTTTACCAAATTGCCATGCAAAAATATGCTTTTTCGAGCGAAGATCATTGAGCAAATTGACTGCCTTGTCAAAAACTACATATAGGGGATCATTTTCTAATTCAATATACTCCTTCGTTTTTTCTCGATAAGCTTCTGCTTTTTGTTCATAATTGTTGGCGTCACCAATATGGAACATGCCACTTTTATCCGCTACACGAAGAATTTGATTGCTTTTCCTTCTTGGCGAGCACGATGGGCATCAAGATAGGAGATTGGAACCATATACTGTTCACATGGATAAATAGCCAATTGATGGGAGAATCGGTTGATGTTTATTGATATCGGTGACATATGATAGACACACACGAGATAAGGAACGATCACGTCAAGAGTTTTGTTAAATTCTCGATCGACTTGTTTCTGTTGTTGTTGATCACAGTGGAGATAACTTTAGTTCGATTGAATGTAATTGGGACCTTTGCAAAGAAGAAGAAAAACAGAACCGACAATGAACTATACTAAAGTCCGAAAACAATTATAGATTTGTAAATACCGTTTTGTGAGAGAAATTGTAGTTGAGTACGGTTTAAAGCTACTTTTGGAACATCGACAATAATTTGTGGATGCACCTGCATATTGTTTTCTGTCATGAGGGATTGTCGACGACGATGTTGTCGGATCAGGTTTGCATGAAAACATGCTCTTCGGTGTCTTATTTGGTGTAAAAGTCTATGCTTATAATTATTTAGATAGGATTCAACGGAGTACATTAGGTATTTCTAGCAGACGGCTAGAAAGGGTTAACTATTCGGAACAATATTGAAGTTTCTCTCACAACGAGTAGAAACTAATGAGTACAAGGACGCTTTAGTAACAAAAAGGTTAAATGAGGATATCCGTTGTCGTTGGTGTCACTGATATTGTAAGAAAACTTACAATTCTCTGGAAGAAGTATTACAGTTCGTGGGCAATTTTAAGATGGATAAACCAAGCAAATAATTCTATATTTTTTAACCCCACCTTCGTATCATTGGTAAGACTCAAGTTTAATATGTAGATGAGAGAAAAAAAATATATATAAATTAAAAACGATACTTCTGGAAGTAGTAAACAATGAACGATGTGGTCACATGTAGTCATATATGTTGTACGTCTTTGTTTTCTCAGACAAATTAACGATCTAGAAACACACTATTGTTCTGCCACGAAATCATCGATATAGTGGATTCTTCCGTATCCTCCTGAATTCTGAAGGTTTATGTAGATCCTGAGATTCTCATGGATCCTAGAACCTTTTAGGATCTATGAGGGCCAGCTTTTCCCACTGGCCTATTCCATGAAGGTATGTATGTGGGCAAGAAGTTTTCAAACTGATTCACATGATGGAATGCTTTGAAATTAGTATGTTATACATCCGCACATATGAATGATTCATTTTATCACAATGGAGAGACGTGTAAGAATGATTAAAATAATTTTTAAAGAGGGTGTTTCAAAAGTGTGCTCTCGCAACGCGTCGTTATTCCATACGGGATGAAACTATCCTCTTTCAAAGAAGATATGTGAAGGCCGGGCAAAGCTCAGTGAGAACAGTGTTTATATAATCGATGAGAAAAAAAATAATCACTCTTCATTTTTTTTCATAATATATTGTGTGCCAGTTGAGTTAATTGCGTGTTTCATTTTTTGTGTATTCAAAAAATGAGTAGACCACTAAGATCGACCAGAGTGTCCGTCCATTTACACGATAATTTTCGACATAGTATCATCTTCTCAATATCTCAGTCGAATTCGAAGATGAGTCAGACCACTTGTACTAATGCCGACTTTCATGGGAATTTCCTCAGATCCTTAAACGCATATAAAGTTGCATGATTTTGCACTAGTTCACTATGTGTTCACGTCCTGCATTGTTTATTGCCTCCTAACTTCAATGTTGATTGCCTAGGCTTAAAAAAATATGGAGACGATGTCGACTGACCACCGAAAAATTTTGTGCAAGAAAACACGCCCAACTTTTTGCGAAACATTGTTAGGTTTGAGAAAACATCGAAAATGTGCTAGTCGATCAGTATAGAAATAGGTGTAGACGACTCCCGTCAAAGTTTTCCCAACTGACTCTACCCTAGAGAATGCCAGAAATTATTCGCCTGCATATATGATAGCCGTGGCCTAGGAAAATGTCAATATGTGATGAGAAACTACATGAGACAGATTCGTTGGGAGATCTGCGTGTATTTCATTCAGATTACGTGTCTGTTACTTATATCTTCCTGCTGTAGTCACTGGCTTCAAAGTTTGCAAGATAGGTTTAGATCTGGTCAAAGACCAGAGTGAAGGGGGACCACGAGGATATGTGTCAGCTAATAGGCTTAGGTGAAAGTCACCCAAATAATCATTGTCTTCGTTGTCGCTAAGGACACCATTCTAGGTGTGCTGTATGCTACGAAGTGCAGAACTTCATTGAAAAACAGGTTCTATTTTAATTGGACCTGTGCTTTACCTGAGCATAGTCAAAGTACGAACAACACGTTACTGATGACAAATTTGAAACATCTTACCGCAGTCGTAGACTGAAAATATGAGCTTATTACTAGAACTTGCCAGTGACTTCTATACATTTATCTATACTATGCTCTTAAAATGGCTTGTGTGATTGAGATAAAATCTTCGATGCTGCATTACTACATCAAAATCTCGCTAGAGTTCGAAAACGAGCCTGGATGGATGAGCAATTTATGGCTTATCGAGAAGGGAATTGATATTCTTCTATGACACGTTATGTGTTCTATCTTACACACTAGTTTGCAGTACTCATAAGTCTCAGCTGAAATACGAAGTTTCCACATTTATTTCTCTTCACTCTTTACTAAATTGACTGAAAATCATGCTTCTGAAATCGGCTGAAATCGTCCACTTATAGATGCGTGTACGTATTTCTACAGTAAATAATTGCTTGTTATTAGTCCTTCACTCTTTATTTTTTTTTTACTTCACAAGGCTTTGCTTACCAAATAGCTTGCCACATGTAGTGATGCGTGCAGACAATTCGAGCGGCGATGAAGCATGAAAGCAATTATCTTCCTCTATTCTTTTCGATGGCCAAATGCTGACTTAAGTGATGTCTGTACGCATCAATATACGTTTTTTTCACTCGATGTATTAAAAAAAAAGTGAATGACGTGGAAAAGATATAGGATACAGTCGACTAAACACACATACGCACACAGAAAGAAAAGAGTATAGTGGTGAGCACAACAAGCTTGTTTTCCGTCATGATTGGATGAGCGAAGGATGCAACATTGAAAAAAAAGATACTATAAAACATCAACATCCTTCCATATTACTCTAACTGAACATGCTGATCGTTGAAAATCAACCATAATCGGACACTGCTGTTATGCACTGGAGATGGAATATATGACACGGTCTAACAAAGTCATTGACTACTGCTATTCTTCCCATCTGCAACACAACAATCTTACGCCAGTTTAACCTTGGCAAAGCGAAATATGCCACTACGTCACCAAGCACTTCGTAGTTCTTTCTGTAGCTGACAATTGAATGTACAGATGATCTCACTCAGTTTGCTTCCTTTACAAGCCTTTTGACGAGCAATATCTCCGAAGATTTTAATCAACACACTCATGGGATCTCAATTACTTCAACCAAAACAATGACTTGCATGTAGGTATTTCTAGTTTTTTCTGTTTCTCTTGCTTGTTGTTCCGCGTACAATTTCGGAAAGCCGGAGTTGGGGTAATGCTGTGAGTTAGCACGACCTGAACCGGAACAACAGCTCTTCTTTCTATTCTTTTGGTATTCTCTCCTTCCTGTTGTTCCGCATACAATTTCGGTAAGCCGAAGTTGGGGTAATGCTGTGAGTTAGCACGACCTGAACCGGAACAACAACTACCCCTCCGCTCTCGTTCCTCATTTTGTTGGAGTATGCTGGGAAGATGAGCCGATGTAGGAGTGCGTCAACTGTGTATGTGCATGCATTTGGAAAGCAAGTGGGTGATGAATGAAAAAAGAAGTCTTTCGACCAGTTGCACAAGATCTATCAAGGCGCATCATTTACAATCACTGCAGAGCCGTTCGTCGCTGCTTGGCGTTTTGGGATGAAGCCGCCGCATTCGACATTGTATGTGATATTCTGATTACAATGTTGTTGCATGGGAAAAATTGAATGTTGAGCTTTGCGAGTCGTGTTATTTGGAAATGTCATAAATGCGCACATAATATGCGTGCTAGAATTGTTTTCTTCGGTGTGACTATCATGGAAGTGACAAGAACAAGAAACAAATACATGTACTATCACATAGAACATTCTTCAAGTTTAACTTGTGTGTAAGATTTTGAAAAATAAAGATAAATCGCAGTGTGGGTGTGGATGTGAGAGCAGGCAAGAGTCATAGAATGCGGAACCAAATGTGCCAGGCGGAAGGTAAGTTCAGTAGTGTCATACATGAAAGTTAAATTCAAGTATTCAACTAATCTAGGAATCCACTATTTTAGCACTCACTACGCGCACTCACTACGCGCCCTCACTTTGACATTGAATACTCGAAAACTTGAAATATTTGAATAGTTGAATTTAAATTTCACTTTATACATGTAGGGTGATAGTCGCAATATCCTGTATTGTTTGTCATCATACAGTTATTCTCACTATATGTAGCGAGATATTTCGAGAAATAAAAATGGATCCCATAGATCGAAATAGGTAAATTCGGAGAAAACCATCCTCTTATTCGGACCTGTCCAGTTCAGAGTACTTTTTTAGCGTAATGTCCTGTACAGCAGTTTCTGTTACTTGTAATTGCTAGGAAATTTTTAATATCACATACATTAGCTAAACTTTCAAAGTCGATCAGCAACACAGCCATTCAGTTAGGCAAATAGCTAAGAGCAAAAATCCACGGGTCGCACTAACTTGAGTTCATACACTATACTTCTCATTTGTTATAAAATCACTTTTTCAGTGGGAAGCATGTTTTGGCCTGTTAAAGTGGTAAAAGCCAAATCCTACACAATACACAGCTTTTAGGGGCTAAATCGTATTGTTTGGCTGATTTGTCTCCTTGAATAGTGCCCCTCAAAAAGAACTTTTATCCCTTCAATAATTCGCGACAAGAATGTCCACAGATATTTTTTTCAAAACAGTTTCACCGAGTTCGAGCCCCGATAGATGCCAAATTTTCTAAAGGTGAAAGGTAAAATGATTCAGTAAAGATGCCTATTTAAAAACTACTAAGTCTGTAACATACAAATCATACTACTTACAATGTGTATTAAATCGACATTATTAGCTTGCAGCCCAATTGGGCTTCAAGAAGATCAAAAGTGTCAAACCTACTGACGTTCATTCGAGGTTTGATAACGGATCATAAAAATAAGAGAATCTCAGTAATCATTCCGTAGCTAAAAGAGCTGAAATGATTTTTTAAACATTGTCGCTTGTTTTTAGTGGATGGTAGCTAGAAAACGTTCTGTCCTGTTCTATTTATGGTAAAAACCAGCCAGCTATCATAACTAACAATGAACACCGAAACAGAACAAAATATATTCAATGTTTGCAATTTTCATGTGAAGTGCCCATGTGACTTTGTGTGATAGTCACATTCTTCTTATTTCCTTTTATTTTGAATAGTAATTTTTATATTAACACGAAGTGGTGCGTCCTTTGATTGGAATTCCTTGCCAACTAGTTCCTGGGGGTATAATTTCTCCTCGCATTACCAAGCTGAAAGGTCCTATGTTTGCACGATGACCTATTCGCGTATCGAGAAGTATGATTGACTCACCACCAATGGTAGCTTCACTTTCTATATGCACTTCACCTAGTTTCATCACTCGATCTTCAAAGAGATGTGTTTGAATGCCAACGTCTGCATCTATTGTGACGTAGTCACCAATATGAACTAAATCAAATTCAGTTATATCTGCCGTATCGAGATAACATCCTCGGCCGATATGAACGCCGAAACACCGTAGCATGGGAGCTAAAAAGAGAGTGCCTTCCAAATACCCAAGAAATATAGAACAAACTATGTCTTCGTAAACTACAGTGATCAATTCCGATATCCATACAAAGGGACTCCACAAAGGATCTTGGCGAATGCGATATTTGCCAATCAATAACCATTTAAGAACCAAAAAAAATAGAAGTGAAGGAACAGCAAATACCATGATGTACACTATTGGTATTAAAAGAAAGAAGAGATAAACATGGTTGTAGGTTTGACTCCACACGAATATCTCAAAAGCGATACCAATCTCTAAGACAATCACAACTCGAGGCACAATTACTCGTAGTATGTCGATTATGGATCGTCCAAGAATCAAATGTGCGCTGGGACGAAAAGTCATTTCATCCGAAATGTCTGGTGCTACTTGCTGTCGCTTGCTGAGAACGATAGGTGGCGAGCCGACGCAGGATTCACCTTCTTTCAATCCATCGGCAACTGTTGACATACATCCAATTAGACATCCATTAGGTATTTGAATTCCACTACTTATACATGCTGCATTGCCAATAAAAGTTCGTTGACCAACGATCGTTTTATGTAGATGAATATAACCACGAGATATGTAAGGATTCGCTAATGTAACTGTATCCGCTACGAAACTTTCATCACCAATTTCCACCAACGAATGAACCATTCCTGACGCTGTCGACACTTCGCAACGTTGACCAATTTTCATACCAAATGCTTGAAGTAGTGGCCTAGCATAGACTGTAGCAAACAGTGCATATATATTATCTAAAGCTACGTCAAATAATTGATCGAAAATCCATTTTCGCATGAAAGTCCATGATTTTGTGCTGTAGACACCTTCTTTGATAGAACCAATAAAAATAAATCGTACGATCACGATTTCTAGGATAATTAAACATGTGTAAAGAATGCCCACAACAGGAGAGAAATAAATCACTTGCAGCCAAGGTGACAAGGCTTTCCATCGGATATAGTCGAAGAAAATAAGACCTGGAAACATTGGAATGAAATTCATCAGAGGCAAAAAGAAGAGAATCAATAGAAGAAAGATGGATGAAACTAAAATAGACTTCCATTTCTCCCAATTCGATTCCGTAACAATCTCTAATGGGATTCTTCGATGGCAGTATTGTGCTGGTGAACCTTGCCAGACTTCATCTGCTGGAATACACACACCAGAAGGAAGAAATGACATTGAACCCAATTCAGAATGATCGCCCATGATGCTTTCCCCATTTAGAACACTGCGGACGCCCACATGAACATCGCATCCAATGGATACTCGACGCAATTTGAGCGTATAGTTGTCGACAAAAGCTGTTCGAATAGCAACGTCTGACGAAATTGTTGAGCCGTCACCAACACTCAACAGATCTACGACTGAACAATCGATGTCACCAATATGCACATTATGACCAATCTTGGCTCCAAGTAATCGATAGAAAATTGGCATCCACGGCGTATCGGAGAAGCTGTCAAGTGATGATAAACCGAGGAATTGTTTCACAGTCCACCAACGTACATACATCAAACTCCAGAGAGGAAAATCTCCTTCTCGAAAACGACCAATTACAATCCACTTGACTAGAATTGCCAGAAAACTCAGCAGCACCGGAACAATCACATATGTTGCATAGGCAGCAAGGAATCCGTATATAAGACCGTAGTTTTCCAAAGCAATGTCAAACATAACGAAAGGCAAAAGTAAATCGACTGCTGTAAGACCAAAAACAATTAGGAGAACAATAGCCTGGATCAGAGCGCACAGAGCGAGTCGAGATATCGCCGGTTTATCAATGGTCATATCTGAGATAAAGATTTTCTCAGCGTTAGAATTACCGGATGTTACCGATAGGCGTTCAGCAAGAGCTTTCGCTGTTTTACATTCGTATAAATCTTGAATTGACACATTTGGAAAAGATTCACGTAATTTGCTAACTGTTTGTGCTGCTGTTAATGAATGTCCACCAAGATCAAGGAAGAAATCGTTATCTTTAGTTATTTCATTATGCGGAAATGTACTGCGAAATGCGTAGAGAATAATATCTGCTATGCTCCGAATGTTGGTTTTATTTGGCACTTTTTGCTGTTCTAAAATCAAGAGATATCCTCTATATTAATATTGATCATACTTTTACTTCAACCAAACCTTATCTTTACAGAAACTTACTTGGACTTTTTGTTATTTCATTTTTGTTTGGACTGTTTCCTAACGATAAAGAATGAAGTGCTTTACGATCGATTTTTCCACTGCTCAAAAGAGGCATTTTTTCATCGATTGTAATCAATCGATCCGGGATCATATAACGAGGTATTCTTTTTGTTAATTTCTCACGCATTTTTGCTTCACTTAATTCTCCTACAACATAAGCAATAATTTGTTCGTTCTGAACAGTAACAGCAGCTGATTTAACATTATCTTTCAAATTCAATAGCTCTTGTTCAATCTCATCAAGCTCAATACGGAAACCTCGTAACTTGACTTGAGTATCAATACGTTGGTGGAAAAATATTTGATCATTCTCGAATGTAACTTGATCACCAGTGCGATACCCGTATTTAGTGAATTTTTCTTTTGTTAATTCACTCAATCCAACATAACCACGCGCAATACCTGGTCCACGAATACATAATTCACCCGTATTTGCTGATGTTGGTTGTCCAGTTACTTCATCAAGAAGGCAACAAACGTAATTTGGTAAAGGCCTACCTATACTAATTGGCTTATTCGGATGTACGAGGCTTAAAGTGGCAGCGACGGTTGTTTCAGTTGGACCATAAGAATTATAAATTAAGCGATCTTCTCTCCACCAACGATCTACGAGTGTCTTGGGAAAAGCTTCACCGCCGACATTAATTAAACGAAGTTTGAGCGCTGGGTCATTATTCAAGAGAAGTAGTAGAGTAGGCACCGAGAAAAGAGCGGTTACTGAATGACGAATCAGGAACAGATNATTGATTTTGAGCGACCGATTGAACATTGAATGATAGTGGATGACTGAAATGGGCTCGAGAATCGATTAAAAGAAGATTAGCTTTGAGATCCGACAATACTTCATTAACTCGTTCTTCTGGAATATCGGCATCGAAAGGAACATATGTTGCACCAGTCATTAAAACACCAAGAATTGTTGCATGCAACAACGCCGATCGGGATAGACAAATGCCCACAATACTACCCGGCCCGATTTGTCGCATATTACGCAGGGTGTGAGCGATATTTAAGGCATGTATGCGTAATTGATCGTAAGTTATCTCTTCATTTAGCCAACGAAGAGCAACTTTATTTGGATAATGTCGCGCAGAAACAAGAAAAATATCATGAAGATATTCATCTTGTAGTAAATTGGGACGTTCCGGTCCTGATATTATTGTCATATCTAAAACAGATAGAATACTAATGTTCAATATTGAAAACATGAATACAGGAAATGGAAAATGGCAATCATAAGAACTTCATCGGTTCTTCTCACTATCTAGGATGTGGTAGTGAGTATTAGCTTAGCAAAATTGTTGGTTTGTTTTGTCTGTGGCATTCGGTTAGTATCAGTGTTTTAGTATCTGTCGATAATATATTTAAGAGCTGCGTGCATGTGCAGAATTAGATACAATTGATTACTAAATGTATGATTGTATATATTAGTCACACCATCCATGTGACGTCTTTTAACAAAACGACTGACTTCGTTAGAGAAAAGGAATGAAGTGATGCGTCTATAGACATAGGCATACATACTATGCATGAAAAAACATGTCGCCAAACCCAAAGAAAAGGCTTCACAGGTATCAAATAGCTTACGAGTGTAGCAAAATGTTGGACAATGGCAATTAAAATTCGAGATATTAGCGTTTCCTATTATCACTACAATTATAGATGCACTCGCGCTATTCATTGTTATATTACTCTTAATATCTCGTGTTGACAGTTTTCATGAGAAAGGCTTGAAGCAGAACAATATTTTTCGTAATCTGCAGAAAACAAAAAAATCCGAGTAGCTGCCTAATTCGACTTATAATACGAGTGGCCAATTCCTAGTACACTACAATCCTTATCTATATAGGAATAGAAATAGATTTAGTTTCACTCATGTCTATATACCCTCACATCCCTGTGACTTTAGAAATAGATAAGAATAGGAATATGTTACTTTCACTTATACCTATATACCCTCACGCCCACACTCGAAATATATGCATGAAAACACCCACCGATGCATCCTCAATCGCGATATATGAGGGCGAGGGTGTGGGCGTGACAGTATTTAGGTATAAGTCGAATTAGGCAACTCATGAAAAATCCAAAATTTATTAGATATTCGGCACGGCCAAGCGTTACGGAATTGAATTTTTTTTAACTTTCAATACCTGAATATCCTCGTTGAAGACATTAAAAACTCACGAAATTTTTACTACAAGACTACATCACTTCATCCCTCGTGGAAAAGAATTTATCGAAGGAATACCGTCCGTTATGTAATTTCGAAAAAATGCCTTGACTTTGAGGATGACCTCAGACGAACAAGTTTCTCGAGCAATACAATGTCTGCCGTCTATCCCTCCACATTACAGCAATTCAGCTTAGATTAAACTTTCAACGTGTCAAATGATTCCCAACAAACGCATGCTCGTTTGAGAAATATATCAGCAACAATGTTCGTTACAGAATTGCGTACATAAAGATAGAAGTTTTTACAGCTCGGTATCTCGGGCGTTCCTTGTGATTAGATCATAGTTTCTCTTGAATCGCAAATCTTACTTCGGTGTGCACACAGATTAGGATTCGACCGATAATTCCTGTCAATCTTTTTCGAAAAAATGGAAAATTAACGAAAATTATCAGCTATTTTTCGTCCGATTTTTAAATGTATTTCGTTCGGCTAATCAAGTAAAAATAGTTCTGTGCTCCGACCGCTTTGAGACGAAGGCGAGAAGGATTCTCTAAGTGTTCGAAACTCTTTCGACTGTACTTTTTGAGGGCAGAAAATTTTTTCACCTAACGTATTTTTTAAAACCTTCTTCAGTGAAGGTGATCGTTAGCTCGCCGTGTCAATTGCTGTTTACTAAACTGAATAACATCAACGAGCTGAGTTAGATTATGCAAGTATTGAGCACTATGCACATGTCTCTTAAGAAAAATGAAGGGATTTTCATAAACGCGTGACAATTAGTTTTCCCTTTCACGAATTATTAAAAATGAACCTCTATATTGTGAGAACTTTTCACAAAATTTGTCAATGTCAAACAATTGAAGCGAATATTTCTGTGGGCGTTAGACAGAACTTGCAAAGACAACTGTCTGCATTATAAGAGAGCGATTGGGTGTCAGCGATAACTAACATGCAAAATGAGCTCGGTAGTTGATGTTTTGAGAAAAAAATACAGATGAAAATCGTGTGCACACACCACTCGTCTTATATCAAAAGGCGGTTGTTGATATTCTGTAGGTATTCATGGTAGAAACCTTTTTTCTTATGCACTAGGCGGAGTGGGCGATATTGGGCGCTTGTAAATGTGGAGTTGGAGCCAGTCGAAGTGCGCGATGCTCCGCCGGCTCCGAATTGGTAGCGTACCGAGCAGCAGGGTAACACACAAATGCAAGCATGTGGCTCATCTCTCGGGACATTATGTAAGCAGCAGTCAGCAACTCAATTTTCAGCATAGCTACAAATGCAAAATAATTCCTTATGATTGATTACTTTTACTGCTATGTTTCTGAGTATCGAAGATTACTGGAAGATTAATACCTGTCTCTGTGTCACTGCTTATTTCTTTGTCGAAAGCAATCATGACGGGTGGGCTATGAAGAATGGTCCTCGCAATATTTTGCATTTTTCTCACCTATAATTCAAGTTAGAAAACATTGTTTTGTTATAGAAAGATTCCTCGTGAAGTTCTCTATAAAATCGTAATTAATCTTACATTTATAGGATGTAAGAAAAAATCGTTAAATTAAAAATACTGCGAACATAAAATGTACCTCACTTTCAAAAGGAGAAAACGTCATGTGGGTGACTAATTTTATACATGTTCTTTTGAATCGTCGAACGTATATATTCTCCATAGAACTATAGCATACAAAGCAGCGTGAAAAGCTCTATCAGATGCATTAATTATTAAATTTAGTTTGTATACATGCTTTCTATTTCCCAAATGGTGCGCAGTTATTTTTCGAGTTTTCAAGAATGATCATGTTTTCGTCAAGCAGGCCATTGCGCAATTTAAAAGCAATTGATGTATCAGCATAGAGTGACTTGTTATGCAAATTGTAAAGCTTTTCAAGACTCATCTGGCGGTTTCTGTATATTTACTGTTTTATAAGACATCAGGTAGAATAAAGATGAAATTAGAATAACGAATTTCAAAAATGTATACGAAGAGATCTTTGGTAAACTAGAAAAATAGTTGTAAATCCTTTTTAAAAAGTAAAAAGTGCAGGCATAGACTAAAACTAATGGTGAATCTTGTAGAACTTTTTACGCCGCATCTTTTCATGTAATTTATTATTGAAAGAACGCATGACAAAATAGTCGATCAGTTGTAAAACAGTTATTAGCTTTGAAAGTGAGGTACATTTTATGTTCGCAGTATTTTTAATTTAACGGTCTTTTCTTGCATTCTATAAATGTAAGATTAATTATGGTTTTGTAGAGAATTTCACGAGGAATTCTTCTATAAAAAAATTATATTTTCTAACTCGAATTATAGGTGAGAAAAATGCAAAATACTGCAACGGCCATTCTTTATGGCCCACCCGTTATAATGAATTCGAAAATGTACACAATACTGGGTTCTTTCGTTCTGTCACTATCGTTAGTTGTGTTTTGTATATCCAATCACTTGTCGTTGTGTTTCTCAATCAAGTGTATTTTATAATTTAAATTTTGCTTGAAATTTATTCTATGAAAACGATACTTCAACTTCGATACATATTCTGTGATACCAAGCAGTAGGTTATACTAAAACGCTGCACATCTTAGTTGGTATTGATTCAGATCTTGTCGAATGCCAGAAAAAATACCTCCGTGCGTTACCTGCATTTTTTCATGTGTAAAAAACGCGGTTTATAGCGTGTGAGAAAATGATACGCGTTTCAAAGCCACGCCTCCCGCCCAATTCAAAAGTTGATTTCGGCCTTAAGGATGTTGAAATTGACTGAAATGTGGAGTGTGTGTTGAAGCTGATGTGAGCAGGCTGTGGTGAAATTTTCCGCCCGATCGGTCGTCGTTTAACAGAGATATGAGCCAGGCAAAGGTAAAAAATAGCGCATTTCCCTTTCATGATTTTTCAGTTCGGGACCGTTCCAGTATGGTGAAACTTGAAACTTGAATTCAAGTATTCAACTATTTTGCACCTACCCCGTAGCCTTGTTCTGATATTGAATACTTGAAGTGCTTTTCGAAATAAAAAGGAAGAAAGAGTAGAAGCTAATTTCTCACTGATAAAACTAACTTAAAATTCTTGTTCTCAAAAGAAAGAAGAAGAAGAAGATACTCACTCAAAAAATTAATTAAAACTAAAAGGAATTAATTAATTAATTTTAATGATGATAATAATAATAATAATGATAATGATGAGAAGAAGAAGATGATAATAAGGAAGAAAAGATGTTGTTTTTTGTTTTTGTGTAATTTACTGACCGGTTTCTGTCAGATTATAATCTGACTTCATCAGAAAAATACAAAAAACTAACAAAATAACAAAGATACAGGTACATGTATGATAAGGATTCCGCGCTGGAAGAGCCCAGGGATCTTGTATTTTGTTTGAAGTTATTAGTGCTGTTGATGTTGATGTGTGATACTCATAACAAAAATGAGTATTATTAATTACGTCTCGGTTCATTTTATGAACCACAAAAACGAAGAGATTAATTTATACAAATTAATTTATGAAGATTAATTCGTAATTTTTAATAGTGAACGGTCTGGCTTCTTTTTAACTAGATAATCTTGAGGATCATGTAGTTTCTTAGTGCCTACGATCGATCTTATGTTACAAACGGCTGTGTCTGAAAAGCAATTTTCCCAGATTTGATTGAATTGGGTCGAAAAGTTCTCCATACCTTTACAAAATGTAAAATGGCACACGAAAGTATTTTCGAAATTAATTCTAGCCTTCTTTGTTGTTTTTTACCTTCATTATCAAGAAAAATCTTTCTTATATTCAAGAAATTTTTCGATGTAGGAGTTGAACATTGAAATGTCTTGAAGACTCTTTCAAATTGCTTTTATATAAAATGTAAAGGATATTTATTCAGTAATAATGATACACAAATATGAGTTTCTTCACGTTTAAATGCATCATAATCTGAACAATACCTTATTGCACGTATAAGAGATATAAAAAGAAATACTTCTTTTTATGTGCCGTGCATGTATACTTGTAAAAGGGAGAAAATACGGTCCATGCGAAGATTTATGAAACACATCGGATATCAATTTTCCTCCTCTATTTTCAAGTTTTACGTCTAGATACTGGGCGGTAAATCCAATAGATTCTGATAATTCAATATTATTATCCAGTCTATTCCAGAATTGTACCCGAACATTTAATGTATCTCTATATACATTTGTCATTATGAACAAATCATTAATATACCGAAAATATAATGAACATGTTCTCTTGGCCCATTTAGCTATGGGTCTTTCGACAAAATACATATATGCATTAGCTACTGCTAATGTCAAAGGGGAGCCCATTGCTCCACGTTTTATCTGTTTATAATATGACCCATCCAAATAGAAATAGTTATTATTCATAACAAATCTGGTAAGAGCAAGAATAATTTCTTTTTTAACACCATCGATTTGTTCTAATCTACTAGTTTCTATTAGACGTTTAATGGCTGTAACTCCTCCTTCTTGTAGTATCATCGTACAAAGATCAGTTACATCCATTGTAATGAATGATGTGGTTGTTGTCATGTAACCATCTGACCATCTTTCAATATGTTTTAATAATTCCAATCTATTTGATACTGTCGTATCACTTGCTAATCTATCAAAAAGTGGTCTTAAAAGACTATCTAACCATTTTGATATGCGTATGGTTGGCGATTTCCAACCTGACATGATAGGTCTTAATGATGTATTTGGTTTATGTGATTAAGGTAAAAAATAAAGATGAACTAATTCTGCTTCTTCATCATCTTTGTTCTTTACTCTTAATCTTTCATAATAGTTTTCTTTTATATGTTTATTATACCATAAACCATAAAGAAAATTATTCGTTCTTTCAACTAAATTTTCAAGTGGATCCATTTGATCCAAATCTTGATAAGCATTTGTTTTTTCATATACGTATATTTGCGCAAAACATATCAATTGTTTCTACGTGTATGAAATTGTTAGATCAATTTGTCTCACAATTGGGACACGAAAAAAATATCTGTCTTCGACAGTCGAAGGTTAAGTGGGTCGGCACGGCGAGCGCTACTTGGTTTTTCTTCTCATTTGGCTTACATAGCTGTTTCAATGTATTATTCTACTTTTGATGAATTCTAAGATTCAATTTCAATAACTATTCTTTTCTGCTCACGGATGCCAACAAAAATAACGACCTACATATATCTACCTCATCATCATAACATGCTATTCCCTGTACGAAAATATTCTATTCCTTTCTTTACTTTTTTCCGTAGAAATTACCTCAGTGATGGAGCTGCAGCACACTTTAAAAACGCCAAGAATATGTTAAACCTTACTTATCATGAACGAGATTTCGGTTTGCCAGCAAGTTGGACATTTTTCAGTGCCTCTCACGGCAAAGGTCCTGTGGACGGTATTGGCGCGACTGTGAAGTCTACAGCAACACGCCACCTGCCGAAAAGTACAGCTGAACAGTCATTTCTTTCAGCAGAGGAATTTTTCAAGTTTACTGAACAAGCCAATGACCACCAAGTGATAAAAAGGCGATCTTGAGTCTAATCGACCAATTGAAGTCTTTTTCATACACGCATCTGATGTTGATTCAGTTTTCAAAAGAACTCTAGAAAAACGATGGTAACATTTAGCGAAAACTCATTGGATTGACGGTATTCAAAGCAAACATCAATTTGATCCGCTAGATATTGGAAAAATTAAATGTCGTCGAACATCTACTGACGGATATTCTGAAACCTTTCAACTATTTTAAATACTTCTCTTTCTCATACATACTGCTACTTCCCAGGTCAACAAATCCGATGCTGGATCCGATCGGATCTGACCGGATTCCTGGAAACGGAATTGCATTGGAATCCGACTACAAAAATCCCGTCGGTTGTTGCAAATTTTATGAGCGATCTTTTTAGTTATGTTCTATGATGATCCTTAGAAAATCCAGGAAATCCATGTTTCGGATCCGAGTATGGGATTGTTCGACCTGGGTAATGATACGAACTTCATTTCATTTTAACTAGTTCATAAAATAGAAAGAGGATGATGTATGACCGTATAAGAGAAACAAAACAGAAAAAAACTGTATCTGGAAATACAGGTAAGATAATGTGTGCATATTCGTGCGTTCTCATAAGAAGTAAGAAAGAAATGATAAATGCCATCCACATGTCTATGACATCATACTACCGCAGGCGAAAACAAAATAGAAAACGTATGCAGAATATTTTGTAACATGTTCTTATAGAGAAAGTAACGTTGCTGACAAGAATTCTCGCTTCTAGAGTTTTTTCCTTGAAAGTTAGTTTTGTTATATTTATTGTTCAATATTGAGTTTCCGAATAAAATAACTTGACTGTAAGTCAAATTATACAAAAAAGTCTCTTAGATGCCTTAACAGAAACCAATGCCACATAGGAATTTATGCGTTTTGAAACATCAAGAACTACCATGCTGTCTTCGGGAACCAGTCGCTTCCAAAGGAGTAACATTAGCAAAATTCTCTTGAATATCTTTTGTCCATGCTTCTAAAAATTTATCTTTCCGTTCTCCTTTTGGAATTCTAACAGCTACTTGTGCACCTCCATTATCTTTTGTCCAACGTCCATCTTTTCCCTTAATAGGATTCAATTGAAATATTCGAAAATAAAATTTAAATGATATTGCTGTATGGAATCGACATTGATTGATCATACCCAAATTAACTTCATTTGCCCAATCATATTTAAAATTTGAATTAAAAATAACTTCATTCTGATCTAATATATAATTGACACGACCATCTTTGATAAGTTGTCTTGTTAACACATCAGCTGAAACAAGCCATTTTTCGAGAAAATCCTCATTACGAATCGTTTTAATTGCTTGTCGAATTATTTTCGCAGTAGAAGGTAAAGAAAGTGAATCTGTAAACTGAGAAGATGGTATTGAAATAATGTAATTTCCGACATGTTCCTGTGTCACTAATGAATCACAAATACCACGATAATTAATAATCATACGAGCACGTTGGATATGTTCATCCGTCGTAAGAAAAAAATATTTATTTAAAGTAATAATAATATAAGCACATAGTGTATCATGAATCGTCACTTCTTCATCATCACATTTACCAATACTCTGTAATCTAATAAGTTGTTCAGAAGAAAAAGATAGATTGATTTGTTCAGTTTCGGATTTTCCTTTGATAAAACGCCCAAAAAATGATTCAATCTTTTCAGCTTTTTCTGATATTTCCTTAATAAGCGGAAAAGAAAGGTCCAATTTTTCTTTGTTGAGTAAACACCGTTGAAAAATAGGACGAGGTGGTAAAGGTTCAAGATGTTGATAAATTTGAGAAAGATCATTTAGAAAACGGATATTTGAATAGGCGTCACCAACTAAGTGTGAAGTACTTGTACCAACAATATATTCCTTACTACGAAGTAAATAAGTAACCTTAAATCGAAGAAGTGGTTCAACTTCAATTTTATATTGAACGGAATCAATAAATGGTTCAAGTATTGTTTTATCATCAACAACAACAGGTAAATCTGGCCAACATTCTAGTTCATTATTTTCGGTGTAATTAAATGGAATAGAATTATCAGAACATTCAATCATGTATTCGTCACAATTGACAATAATACGACCAGTTAGAATCGGCCATATAGAAAGCGTTTTGCTAAGAGCATTTCGTAATCGATCGACATTAAGAGTTGGATAAACAAAAACATTATCAATGCTTGCAAAGACCAAATCCGTACCGAGTAGTGTAATTCGACGACCATTTCCTGACGGAATAGATGCATCAATGTAACAAGTCATTTTAAATCTGATTTTTTTAAAATTTGTATTTTTGTTGTCGTATATATGTAAAAACTATAAAGTAACCATTAAAGTCCTACAAATGACTTGTTTTTCTCTTTATTGATAAAAAAATGTAGGTCATAGATAAAAAAAAGAACCGAAAATCTTTTGATTGGCCCTCTTCTTCTAGCTAAAAATAATCGCAGATGGCGCAAAATACTTCTCTGACAGAAATGACACTCGAAAGAAGAATTTCTTCGTTTGATAAACTTCGATATCAAAGTTAGGCGTGCAACAACGACAAGTTTTGGATTTGGTAAGTAAGATTTTAAATGAGTTCAAATGAAAAATCCAAAGATTTTGAATAAAAGTTAGTATAAAAAGGCAATGTTGCGTTTGTTTTTTTTCTGTATTTTAAATTGTTCTTTTTAATTCAATGAACTTTTCAGGTTTTGAATGGAAAAATCTTCATCTAGTTTGACATTACGAAGATTATTGAAAGACGCTTTTCATTTTTGTATTTAGATTATTAGCTCGAGTAACTTTAATGTACTCTCTATTGTCTAATAAATAGTGAGACAATCGTATACCTCTATCCCACTTTTTACTACCGAAGCAAGCAACATGCAAAGCAAGAGAAATAATTCAGACAGTTCAAATACAGTTTAAACTAATATTTCAGTAAATGATTTTCTATACTTTTTTCGATGGCCAGATATGTAAAATGAAGCGAAGCATCTGTGAAACATACAATAACAGATAAGCACATAAAATGAAGTACATGTCATTGACGTTTGTACAAGTAAAAATGAATGTATCAATAGCTTGAGGTAAAATAAAAAAACAATTATCAATAGAGGTGTAATATACAAATACTGTCGCTTTTCAAGTTGTATTTTTAATACGTAATAAAAAATTTGTTGGTCGATGTAATGACAAACTGGTTGAGTAGCTGACCGCATCTCACGGTATAGATGTTTATTGACTACTCTACATGACCAGAATGTATCTCTTTCACAATAAGACATGTGCTTATATAGAGAAGAGAAAAGAGAGATATGACCCGGAGATAGTATGATACAGAGGTGAGAGAATAAAGAACAGAAAGAGATGAACGATATCATTATCGTTACAGTCGACTAGTTGTTCGTACTCGAATACTGATTGTTTGAATAAAAAAATGGTGGAATACATTGAAGGAAAGTCGATATCTGTTATAAACCGATAAACCTGTGGAATAATAATTCATGATTGTATAAAATTTCATGAATACGCGTTACAAGAAGAATAATTCAACTAATAATAGTCAATCATATTGCAAAGCGAACGTCTTCAAAAGTAAATAAATTAGGTAAAATAACGATGAGACAATGATCATCAGCAGTTCAATTTATTAACTAACAATTCGATCGTGCAAATACAGAAAGAACGAACGATGTAAATCGAATCGTTAGTACCGAAGATATTCCTAAAATAATGTGGATAAATTTGATAGGTAAACCTAATACAGTACATTGAGTGAAATATGTTTTAAAAAGTAAATAGATATCAGTACTATATTTTCGAATAATTCTTGAGGGTAGGTGTGTGTGAGGGTGTAAATATATATATAATAATGATGCGCGCACGCTACTCATAAAGCGATCAATGTGCTCGGTTTTCTTTCCATTATTATCACCGAAAGTGTTAACATTTTCATTGACTGCACCATTTCTATCGGCATTCTCTTCTTCGTTTGATTGGTCACAAACTTTGATTCTTGGCAGCATTGGTTCACATTCATCTACGTTTGTGTCTTTCAATGTTAGTTAAGTTGTGTGATCCATATCCCCTCTTCTGTTCGCAGATCCTGCTCGATAGTAATTCTGGATACATATGGGGTTTTCATCGTTTCTGCAGCATTGTCAAATTCGTCAAGAAGTGATTCACAATCGAACCAAATCATAGGTGTCCGACATTCTTCTGCTGAACCTCCAACATACCAATACAAAAAAAAAGAAACCGGATCCAAATGCTTCAAGCAAGAAAATCTTACCAGCAAACGGGAGAACACCACGTCCACGATCACGTTGTGCAGTGTGGTAAGTAATCTCTAATCCCACAACGAATTTCGCTCGTTTTCTAACCGAAATACTATAATGATCAATGATTAACAATAGTGACGTCGCTATATCTCGAACCACAAAACATTTCTTCAACGAAACACCAGTCTTCTTCCCTTGATTTACAGTAGGGTGCAAAAAAAATTGCCGACACGTGCATGAACTTTCAACGATTTTTTTTCTTCCTTCTTACAAGATAATTGTTCTCGAACTATATTGAACATGTAGGGTAGACACTATATATATGATAACGTATAACATCATTTTCGAAATTTCTATCAGTTCAATAAAAATGACCTCGAAAGTTACGAACAGACACTTGTCGACGCATCGATCAGTGATATTACATTATTTCAATATGGGCTATTGTTGCGCTGCTGAAATTGCTCGACAAACACACATTCCTGTCCGTACTATTCAGTATAATTTAGTCAAGATTCGGAAGCAAGGCGGCGTGGAACACCGACGAGGCAACGGTCGACGTCGAAAAATCTCAAATGAAGATAATGTTGTACTTGGCCAGTGGATTCGAAGAAATAGTGAAATTATATCGAAGGAAATAGTCGCAAAACTTCACACAAAGAAAGATTTGAATGTTTCTCGATGGACCGTGCGTCGTCAGCTACGTCGATTAGGTTATAAAAACGTTTTACCTCGAGGAACTCCAATGTTAACAAATGAACAAAAAGAAAGACGTGTTCAATGGGCTTTGGCACACAAGGATGATGATTGGAATCGAACAGTATTCTCTGATGAAACATCTTATCAATTATTCAGAAATACCATCCGCCGTTGGTCGAAATATGCTAACAAAGAAACAAAACCAATTCCGAAGAATAGACAGAAAATTATGGTGTGGGGTGCTTTTAGTATCAAAGGTTTGTTGCAATGCTATTCTTTTCGAACAATAATGAACGGTCGTCTTTACGTTGAAATACTTCAAAATCATCTCATTGGTAACGCAAGAAAACAATTTGGACGTCGGTGGCGATATCAGCAAGATAACGACCCAAAGCATACCAGTCGAATAGCGAAACAATTTTTGAAAGAACAAGTGCCTGAAATAATCGACTGGCCAAGCAATAGTCCTGATCTTAACCCAATCGAAAATCTTTGGTCTATACTTAAACGACGTGTGGAGAAACGAAGACCATCAAATATCAACGAATTGGACCAGTTTTTACACGAAGAATGGGAAAATATCGATTTGAAAATTGTAAATAATTTAGTACAGTCGATGAAATCAAGATGTTTAGCGATTATTGATTCAAAGGGAAAAAGAATTGATTATTAAGTTTTGTAGTTTTGTAGCATAGTACGCAACTAAACTTTTTATGAAAAAATAGATTTCTGTTATTAGTAATAAATGGCAAAGATTTGTGAAACTTTATCGGCAATTTTTTTTGCACCCTACTGTATTCTTTTACATTTTCTCTTGGAGATTGGTGAAAACACTGTTTGCCAGAAACCAGTGACCTAAAAAAGGCTGCGTTTTTCAGAAAGCTAACATTAAAATCCTGAAATTACGTAAGCCTCCTAAATATCGTCATTTCGACGACCAGAATAACCAAAAGGAAAGAATCGACCATTCTTCGCTTACTCACTGTTACTCCCAGACAGAAGTACTTATCGCTCTCCACAACCCAACATATCCGTCTGTTTTTCGAAAAACATACTTACATCAGCAAGCTTCCCTTCGAAAAAAAGTGCCTCATGAAGATAATAAATTTCTCGTAAATTAGAAGAACACGAAAAGAAACACAGATAGCATCACCAATCAAAGACACACAACCACTCCAAGACCAATGTAACATATCAATATAGCGCGAATGACTAAAGCAAAATCAAATACGTCAATCCAAACGACTTTTTCGGTATACAACATACGATACTTTCCTCGTCCACAAAAACAATTCACGTCTCCCGACAACAAACAAAGCCATCATTGAAATTTTTGGACAACCAAAGGATACAAACTACATTAGACAATTAAAAATAATCCAGAGAAATAGCTTAGCCAGATATGAGGTTTGATTCAAAGTCCTCTAAAGTACTTTTTCGATGAGTGAATTTGCAGAAGACTGATATGGGTTTGTCGGAACTCACTGTATAGTGAGCGGAACCGATGTTTTGTTTGTGCGCTTTTGATATCGCCCACCGAAATATTAAGAAAGTTGGATTGTAACGGAACTGTTGGTCGACGTATTGTGTAAATTTCGGTTGTCGAAAGTTGTGGGGTAAGTAGGATTTGGGACTTAGAAGTTGATGGGCCACGCGAGGGCCAATCGAATATGGTTCCGACCAAATCGACTGACAGAAAGTGAAGAAGTTTTTACGGTTCTAGCTGACGAGATTTGCTGGAACACACTAGGACCTGGTCCGTCTGGAATCCTGCGTCAAGGAACGGGTAAAATTCTGTCGCTATCCAGGCGTTTTCTGATACGGTATGTGCTGGTTTGTAGTGATTTCCGATGTTTCCTGTCTCGGTATCTCTTTCTAGTTCCGGCAGTTGAAATGATCGACCTGGAAACAATAAAGAAATTCAATGTATAATACAGATAAAAATGGAATATGATTTATTGAATTATTTTGTGAAGTATTAACACGATCTTGTGCTCCATCTATTTCAAATGTATTACTTTGAAGATTCAATGTGGTTGGTGTCTATATGAAGAGCAAAAAGTATACGTGAAAGAGTTAAATTAGAAGATAAGAATTAGAGTTATTCTGTAAGACAATAGCAAGACATCGCGCTCGAATATCTCCAATCTCTCTTCCAAGATGAAGTGTGGCTAATGGCCGAGTACAAATAAGAGGCTGAATAAATACGTAAACGAGGAAGATATAAAATGAGAATTATTTTGTTCTTTAATAATGCATCAAACAAACGTTTTGCATCAATATCTCTGATTTAATATAACTAAGATCAAGTGTAATGCGAAAGTATCATTCCGAAAGCAGAACACAATTGTTCTGTTATTGGGATGGTACTTAGGAGTTTTAAGTACTTTTGTTGTGTTTTAAGAACAAGAAATCTTTAGGTAACCAACTTACGATGTTCTAGAAAATGTTTATCAATAAGAATAAAGCATTTGTACTATGCTATTCTAAAAATTTGCAGTTTAATTAGTTCACTTTTTCTCTATTTGAGCTGAGTCCCATTTCTTGTGATGACGTGTTGGGTTCACTTCCTACGACCTTCAAATCGCAATATGAATGGCCGCAAAATTAAGTGGTTCAGATGCAGTCCCAGTTTCTAGCGACGTTACAAAGCCGTCATAATTAACGTGTTCCTACACCACGGAAAACCGTGGTATTTATCGCAAAATTTTCTTGTGATGATCATAGCAGATTTTGGGGTAATCTACTCATTTATGTTTATTTCTTGAAATACGATGTATCAATTCAAGATCTTCTCGAAAGAATTTATGAATATGTCGATTTTTCTCTCATGCAATCTTTCTTAAGAATATAGCATAAATGATAGAAAGAATTGGTTTTGTTCTGTTTATGACTGCGAGAAGAACGGCATGAGTTTTTTCATTCATTGCTGATTAATACTTTGACTAAACTTACGTAACTGTGTTAAAATGAATCATTTTTTATGTTTTATTCGACACTAAAAGAAATACGTTGAATATGTACCTTCGCAATGGCTTCATATTTTTTTTCTCAATCGTTCGGCGTATTCATGATTGAAAAAGAAAACAAATCGAGTGAAAAGAATGCGACCGTAACTATAACTATCGGTAAAATCAAAAGAAAAGTGACGCTGAAGAGAGGTAAAATTTACAAAGAATTTCTTCTTTTCTTCTCGCAAGAAAACGTCCAAGTAAATTGTAACATTTAAAGTGAATACCTTTCTATGTTAAATATTCCTCAAAATTCCAAAATAAATTCATCGATTAATCTCATGAAATATGTTCATTAATAAGAATAAATCTCGTCGAAAAATTTTGTTATATTTTATTTGTTTAAGTTCATCGCTTCTTTTCATATGTTATTATTCAATAATAAATATTTTTCAACCATTCATTCCTAAAGTTCGTATTCAATCTGAAAGGAAAGATCCGTTTAAGAAAATTTTTATTTCGCATTATACAACAACATATGGGAAACGAACTGATTCAAAATCAAAAATTTTTAACAACAACTTAGAAAATATTTGTGCTTTACTTGATCCGGAAGAATATCCATATGCTAATGCAGTTTTTGTTAGTTTAATTGATTTAGTTCATTTACCAACTTTACCAAGTTCAAATGAATCTTATAGAAAAAAATATCAATCCCAATTCTGGTTATTACATACTGAAGAATCTCCGAGAAAATCTTATGAAACAGTTCAATTAAATGATATTACAGATCTTGATGATTGGTTTAATTTAACAGCAACATTAAAGCCTGAATCAGATATTCATATTCAATATAACGTACGTATCTTTTTATTTTTAAGTATAGCATTGTTTCAAACGAAGAAATAATATGAAATGAGAAAAAGTGAAGAAAAACAGTAATGTCGAGAAAAATCTAAATCTAATGATATAATAATAAAAAGAAAGAAGAGTGTTTCATATCGAGTGTCATGCGATCAAATGTTGAAATAATAGAATTTTATACAGAGAAGAATAAACAATGACATATTAGGCAGTTCATAACAAGATTCATAGAAATGTAAAAGATAAAATAATAAGACAAGGAATATTCAATGCTGCAATCAGAAAAAAGATAATGAACGATTGTTCATTTCATTTCAAATGATATCACCTGTCATGTTGCATTGACAAATCTTTTTCCATTAAACTTTTACTCTGACATTTTGATCTTGATCAATCTTCTTTTAATGAATTTCACACATCTATCCGATTGAATTAGAGATACAGTACGACTTTGTCTCAAGTACATTTAGTATTAGATTATCTAGTTTTTATGCTTTCTATTCAATATTCTTTTCTATGAATTTTTCTCGAATGAAAATGTTCTGTTTTATGTTTTTTTAGGGATATCGAATTAAACCTGAAATAATAAATTTTCTTGAGAAGAAATTCAATAAAACATATCCTCGTACAAATTTTTCTCAATTTATTCTTAAAAAAGATTTCGTTGAAAAAACGAATTCATTCTATATGAAAACACTTGCAAATGTTTTAAGCAAAGAAATTAATCTTCGACAAGATTATCATGCAAATACTTGTCCATATACTTGCAATACACCTTTATCAAATGATCTAATACTTTATCTTCAACCATATTTAAAGCCAAGAAATTTTCAAATGAAAAATCGAAATATTGTTTATATCGCATGGTTTGTATCCAATTGCAACACTCATTCAAATCGAGAAGAATATGTTTCAAAATTACGATCACAAAAAGGTATTCAAATTGATATATTTGGTTTTTGTTCATCATTGTTTAATTCACGTCGTTTATCAGAAAGATGTCGAAAAGGAATACCGAATTGTACTTTAGATATTTTAACAAAATATCGTTTCTATTTATCATTTGAAAATTCGAAATGTGACACTTATATTACTGAAAAATATTGGATCAATGGACTTAATCAACATGCTGTTCCAATTGTTTTAGGGGCTTCAAGAGAACAGTATAAACGTATTGCAGTACCTTATTCATATATTCATGTTGATGATTATCAATCTGTTGAACAACTTGCTGAAGAACTTCATCGATTAAATCAAAATGATTCCGAATACATGAAATATCTTCAATGGACACAATTATATGATGTTGGGAGTGATTATATGCCTACGATATTATATGATATACATTCGACACTTTGTTTTCTTGGTCATTATCAGCGTTTATATGAAATGGAAAAAGTAAATCAAGAAAGTAAATATTTACTTGAATTAATTCGTTACTTATTTTCAATAAAAAATATAACTTTGAAGAATTTTAATTGGAATACAGCAACAACAAAATTAATTAAAATTAGTGACTTTTATAATCCAAAAGTTAATTGTTGGGATTACGATTATCCATCAATTTTTAAAAGAATTTGGAATTTCTTTTTCATTTGGACAAAGCTTTTTTAATGAATTAGTTTTATTTGAAAATTATTTTCTTTTTCTTTTATTAATCAAACTTTGTAAAACTTAATTCAATAAAATTATTGTCTTTTCTTTTTAAAAGAACATTTATGATATGTCGATTACTCATAGAAATATTTATTCCTGCTATTTTCATAAATATCTCTCATTCATAGGATAAATTAGATTTTATTCATTAATACAATTCAATAGAGTTATGTAGAGATCAATGCCCATTAAAATACCTCAGCGTATTATATACTTCATATGTCCTTGAGACGTTTCGAAATTACTTGGGACGAGTGTCATGATTTCTTCCATGATACTGGATCATTAAAAAATGGTCTATGCAAAACAACTATAATTGAAACAATAATAGGGAGTAAAAGATGAAAGTCTTATAAAGAATTGCAAACGATAGGTCAAAAAGTGTTGTAATAGTTGTTAATGCAGAGCTATTTACGGCAAAAGTAAAACCGTTGAAGAACTTTCAAATAGTGCGTTTTGTAGCCCTATCGAAGGGGTAGTTTCTGACAAAGTTTGATGAGTAGACGCTTTTCCTGAGATAGACATCATTCATCACACTGAATCCATGGTTATCGCTTTTAATACAAAAAAAAAAAGATGGAACTTATTGGAAATTGTCTTCTTCGTCCTTCTTACTACTACAATATGATTAGAAGTGTTGAATATAGAATATGGTAACCCGTCGAAAGCCCTACACAACCATACAAAAAACTGTTTTATCACATTTTTTGAAAATTTTATAGGAAGCCTACTAATCAGATATTTATCACTTTTTTTTCGTACGACAGTAAATCGATCATAAATCCCCGTAAGTACTTCATAGATTAAACTTATTATAGACTATTCGACGCACCTTGAAGAGCTCCAGAAGATGGCATAGATACCTTCTCAATCTGGGATATACCGTCTTATTCGACAGAGTCCTTTCATTGATATTAGTTGGTGAAAGCCTTGTTTTTGTATGAAGGGTTTCTTTGTTTATTTCCCAAGTGCAATCGTTACGGTGATTCAATGATTCAGAAGGTAAAATAATGACTAAGGCGTACGTGATGATGAAAGAGAGCGTTGAAATCATGGCCATGCGTTAATCCTTTTATGATTTTCTTTATTATTTCCTTTTTGGCTTACCTTTATTAGATAAATATAAATCGTATTGTTTAGTATTCTGTAGGCATCTTATTTCAACACATGCAAGGAAAAATTATGAATACAATGGAATTAGACAAAACGGTTCGTTCATCGTCAACTTTTCAACGATTTCTTCAATGGATCGAGGATAAGAAAAAATATGCCGATGAATTCTCAGATAAATTAGGAACAATAGAAGACTTCGTTGAAGTTATTCGAAATATAATACAAGGCAATATTCTAAACCTGTCGTGTTGCTTCTGTCTTGGTATAACTATGACAATATCTGTCACAAGTATTGCAGTTGGTGTTGGACTTGGAACAGGTATTGGATGTTTTCGAAATAATTAAAACTATTTCAACTAGCATGAAATTTAGAATTGTATTTAATCGATATTTTTCGAAATAAATTACGTGTTTAAATCTAAAAAAATTCTTAATTAGTCAAATTATCAATCATAAGATTATCCAATTGAAACAGTCGAGAATTCGATTATACTATTAGTACTATTTGTAGTATTGAACGAAACTCCAGCAGCTTTATCACAATTTAATCCAACACCAGCACCAACTCCTACTCCAATTCCAATAGAAATTCCAATACTAATTGAAGCCATAGAAATTGATAGACATGAGAAAGGATTCAAATTAAAAAAATAGCCTAATATATAAATCGGTATTGTCATTGATAGATCGTAGATTGTACCGATACATTCTAATATCAAAATAAATATTCCCCATCGAGTAAATTCATTTGCAGGCATTCGTTTTTTCCTTGGATATATATTTTTCAAATAATCCATTATATGTTCTATATAAAATAATAAAAAAAAACATTGTTATAAACAACTATATTTGATATCTTTACCTCTTATATTAAAAATATAGCCAATACAATTGAGAAAAGTTTCTGCCATTAGACGAAATTGAAACAACAATCAAATAAACTATTGATTATAACGCTATTCGATCTATCATTTATAGTAGTCATAGAAAATGTCGTTCTACACGAATTACCTTTATATGTGCTGTGATCGTTATGATAGACAAAACGGAAGTACAAAATATCGAAATATTTTTCTTGACCTTACAGATTTTAGATTGGTGAAAGTCTAGGGAATAGAAGTTTTTTTTTTTAAGTAACTGTTTTTTCCGTTAATTAGACATGAAATCTAGTCCATATAATTTTGCAAAAAAAAAAGAATTTTTTTTCTTTTTAAGAAAGTAAAAGTAAATAAAGCATATCTTTGATGGCGTCCTTTGAATAGTTTGTTTTAAGAATTTGAAAAAAAATTCAAATATCCGTTTTTTTTAAATGCAACCAATAGATAAGATTGTTAGTTCAGCTCGCCTGAAACATTTTGTTGAACAACGTCGTCGATCAATTGTTATTCATTATTTAATTGCAACATCAACACACGGATTACGAAGTGTCGGCGTACTTATTCGAAATTCAATCAATTTTTTTTGGATATGTTCATTTACAATCACATTTCATAGCATGTCTTATTTTATTATATCCTCAATTTTACAAATACTATGCATATCCAACACTAACAAAATTTGAAATTCGGCTCGATCGTCATATGTTATCTTCTGTTGTAACTGTTTGTATTGGAAATCCTTATCGTTATGATAAAATAAATCAACCATTGGCTTCATATTTCTATCGTTTAAATTCGCCAAATGCAACATTTAGTAAACCTGTTCTCAATTCATTATACATTCCATTAATTGTTAATTTATTTAGTCGAAGTCAAGCAGATGAATTGTTATTAATTGCTTTTGAGTTTAGTGATATTTTACCGCAATTTAATTATAATAGAATCGATTGTTCGAAAGTATTTACATTATCAATATCACCAGCGATGGGAAATTATTTTATATCTGATTGGAAAACATCAGGAACAGTGTCTTATTAGCGAGCATTAATCTTGAATAATTCATCGAACATCAGTGTTTTACTGCCGAGTGATATTGCACAACGTTTTGAGTATTATTTTGATCAAAATTATATGAAAGTCCAAATATCGTGTGGTAGTAAATATTACTATCGAATATAATCAAGAAACTAAATTAACATTTATTGATACTTTTTCTGCCATTAGCGAACAAAAAGGATTGTAAATGTAGAAAAATTAAAATTATTCATATTTTTATTTCGATGGATTGGATTGAGTGTTTTAAGTGTCATTGAGTTATGTGAATTAATCTATCGTCTTTTCCATCATTCTATCATTATACGCAAAAATAAAACAAAATCCATTGTGACACCAATGACAATGATAAAATAATCGATCCTTCTCATTAATTTATACTCCCTAATTAAATATCATTCAAGCTGAATTTTAAATCGTGTTTGTTTTTTTGTTTGTTAATTATAGAAAGGAAAAAAACATAAATAGTTCGTTTATTTTCCATTTTGAAATCGTTCTTTCATTTGGTTACAACCACGAATACAGTTGTTAGGGAAATAACTATAATCTTTGCCACCCGCTTTTACTAAATCACCTAATCCTACTGATTGAGATCCAGCATTCACGGGAGAACCATGTGGTTTCCATTGGCTTGACATACGTGTACGTTGTGTGTCAACAACAACTGTCTGAGAATTGTGACCAAAGTCAGGTCCTTTATGAACGAGAAACTTTTGACCATCTTGTAATGTTGCTACTTGACCTCGATGATTAATACCGATTTTATCCAAATATTTGGCAATATCAACACTATATACTGGTTTGATTTCTAATGGACGACGATATTCTTGAATTGATTGTATTCGTTGATTGTATAAACCGTTTAAAGCTTGTTGATTATGAGTATGAGGATATCGTTGCGATTGGAAAAACGCCTGGCTCACTGTTGATACAACGAGCAGAAGCGTAAATGTATAAACCAAACCCATTTGGAACAGAATAGATGAAATATTATTTAAAATATAATTTTACCTGCCAGCTATTTTTCCTTACTGCAAATACATGGAAAGAGTATTCTTCTTATATACCCTATGCCTTATCAATACTTCCTCTTCTATACAACAATTTATCTTTTGATAGTTCCTCGCTAAAGTATTCACCTTTTACTTCCTTTATGGTAGAATAAGTGCCGAACTATAAACATGATCGATACGTCAGTGTATGAAAACCGATTCTTGTTCTATAACGACTAGAGATGCACCAATGCAGGAACACGCATTATGCGGTAGGATGTGTCCTTCGCAATTTTCTAGATGAGAATATAATTTCCAACATATTCATTCATGATTTCTTTCAAATAATTAAGCAGACAAGAAACCTATTTTATCATTGCTGTCTACAAGTTAAGGAAGAAAAAAAATAGTGTAAAATTTTATCTTTTCAATAAAATACAGTGTTTTTTGAAAAAATCTCTCCAATTAAGATGGCCTCAATATCATTCGAACATAGTTACCCGTTGAAATCTTTACATATCTGTCCTTTCTAGAATTAGTGAAGGCTTTTTGAGGTATCAAGTCTTGTTCTGATTCGATTGTCCACTCTGTAAAAATTGTCAGTCTTACTGTGAAAAATAATGATGCAGATAGTGTAAAATGGCATTGCTTATTCCCTGCACGAATCAGTCAATTGAAGATTTCGCATGTCGATGCGATTTATCTTATATTCCTAATCAACTTACGTTTGCTAACATTGGAAGATGGTACTTGTGCTTAATTTGACAGTATTCGCTCGCGAAACTCTATTTTGCAAGATCTTCGTATCTATGGCGGTAAGTAAAATGTTCAAAGTGTGAATTAAAATGACTCACTCTTTTGTATACATAGCGTTTTCCATATTCTCGTCTTATTATACAAAATCTATCAATGGTTTATTCCAACTCATATTATCTAATGGTTTTTCGTAACTTCGAGTATGCAAAGCTACACATATCGGAATATTAGGTTTTAGTAATACATGGATAGGTGCGCCTAATTGTCATGTTCTCCAACTAGATCCTCATACAGCGCACGGTTGTGAACAATTTCGGTCTAAACTTTCCATCTTGCGTCATTTTACTAGCAATCAATCAGTATGTGATAATAAATCCATAAGTATATGACTCATGTTTAATGCATATGCTATTTTCTGTTTTAAATGTATTTATTTGTATACCGGTCAGCAGTGGTGATCTAAACCAAAAAGGTATACCGAATGAATGGGCCAATATTCAACAATTCGAATGTGAAGGTATTTTTATACTCGATTTTTGCTCTCATGAGGATTATGGTGACCATGAACCACCGCTTCATTCGAATAAAATGACAAATCCTGGAAATTTTTACGACAATAGAATTACTATACGAGGTCGTGTCCTACGCAAGACTGAACCGTATTGTCACACTTCGTTTCTCATTCAAATCAAAATATCATCTGAATATTCTTTTAAGCCTCCTGAGTGTGATCATTCTTGATCCACTATAGCATGTAAGTATAGATGATTCAGGAAGACAGCGTTGATGTTGGTTTTTACTTGACAATGGAGACCACAAACTAACAACTCCATTACGTGACTTTCTTTTAGCTATCATCCGCCCATGTAACTCTGAAACGCAGAAAAAACGCGTTTGGACGCGTTTGGTGTTTCACATAGTGTAGTGTCGCGTCTAGACGCATCCTACGAACGCGTCCGAACGCGATAGAATTATCAAACGCGGCCAGACGCATCCTATACACGCATCTGAACGCGGTAGAACCTAAGAACCGCGGCCAGACACATTCTATAAACGCACCCGAACGCGATACAACTAAGAAATGCGCCTAGACGCATCCTATAAACGCATCCGAACGCGATAGAATTAAGAAACGCGTCTAGACGCATCCTATAAGCGCGTCTGAACGCGATAGATCCTAAGAAACGCGACCAGGCGCATCATATAAACGCGTCCAGACGCGTTTATGTGCGTTTTCGGCAATTGATGCGTTCAAACGCGTCTGAAATGACAAACTCTTNGGGCGGCGGGGGGGGGGGGGGCGCTGGGGGTTCCACCCCCCCAATCCCCCCCCCCTGTGTTCGTCACTGTGCCCATGTGACTTTGTGTGCTGGTTCACATTCTTCTTATTTCCTTTTATTTTAAATAGTAATCTCTATATTAATAAGAAGTGGTGCGTCCTTTGATTGGAATTCCTTGCCAATTAGTTCCTGCGGGTACAATTTCTCCTCGCATTATCAGGCTGAAAGGTCCTATGTTTGCACCATGACCTATTCGCGTATCGAGAAGTATGATTGATTCACCACCAATGGTAGCTTCACTTTCTATATGCACTTCACCTAATTTCATCACTCGATCTTCAAAGAGGTGTGTTTGAATGCCAACATCTGCATCTATCGTGACGTAGTCACCGATATGAACTAAATCAAATTCGGTTACATCTGTCGTATCGAGATAACATCCTCGGCCGATATGAACGCCGAAACATCGTAGCATGGGAGCCAAAAAGAGAGTACCTTCCAGAAATCCAAGAAGTATAGAACCAGCCGTGTCTTCGTAAATTACAGTGATCAATTCCGATATCCATACAAAGGGACTCCACAAAGGATCTTGGCGAGCGCGATATTTACCAATCAATAGCCATTTAAGAATCAAACAAAATAGAAGTGAAGGTACAGCAAATACCATGATGTAAACTATTGGTATTAAAAGAAAGAAGAGATAAATATGGTTGTGGGTTTGACTCCAAACGAATATCTCAAAAGCGATACCAATCTCTAAGACGATCAAAACTCGAGGCACAATTACTCGTAGTATATCGATTATGGATCGTCCAAGAATCAAATATGCGCTGGGACGGAAAGTCATTTCATCCGAAATATCTGATGCCACTTGCTGTCGCTTGCTGAGGACGATAGGTGGCGAGCCGACGCAGGATTCACCTTCCTTCAATCCATCAGCTACTGTTGACATACATCCAATTAAACATCCATCAGGTATTTGGATTCCACTATTTATACATGCTGCATTACCAATAAAAGCTCGCTGGCCAACGATCGTTTTACGTAGATGAATGTAACCACGAGATATGTAAGGATTCGCTAGTGTAACTGTATCCGCTACGAAACTTTCATCACCAATTTCAACCAACGAATGAACCATTCCTGACGCTGTCGATACTTCGCAACGTTGACCAACTTTCATACCAAATGCTTGAAGTAGTGGCCTAGCATAGACTGTAGCAAACAGTGCATAGATATTCTCTAAAGCTACATCAAATAATTGATCGAAAATCCATTTGCGCATGAAAGTCCACGATTTTGTGCTGTAGACACCTTCTTTGATAGAACCAATAAAAAAAAATCGTACGATCACAATTTCTAGGATGATTAAACTAGTGTAAAGAATGCCCACAACAGGAGAGAAATAAATCACTTGCAGCCAAGGTGACAAGGCTGTCCATCGGATATAGTCGAACAAAATAAGACCCGGAAACATTGGAATGAAATTCATCAGAGGCAAAAAGAAAAGAATCAATAGAAGAAAGATGGATGAAACTAACACAGACTTCCACTTCTCCGAATTCGATTCCGTAACAGTCTCTAATGGGATTGTTCGATGGCAATATTGTGCTGGTGACCCTTGCCAGGCTTCATGTGCTGGAATACACACACCAGAAGGAAGAAATGACATTGAACACAATTCAGAATGATCGCTCATGATGCATTCCCCATTTAGAACACTACGGACGCCCACATGAACATCGCATCCAATGGATACTCGTCGAAATTTGAGCGTATAATTATCGACAAAAGCTGTTCGAATAGCAACGTCCGACGAAATTGTTGAACCGTCACCAACGCTCAACAGATCTACGACTGAACAATCCATGTCACCAATGTGCACATTATGACCAATCTTGGCTCCAAGTAACCGATAGAAAATTGGCATCCACGGTGTATCGGAGAAGCTGTCGAGTGATGATAAACCCAGGAATTGTTTCACAGTCCACCAACGTACATACATCAAACTCCAAAGAGGAAAATCTCCTTCTCGAAAACGACCAATTACAACCCATTTGACTAGAATCGCCAGAAAACTCAATAGCACTGGAACAATTACATATGTTAAATAGGCACCAAGGAATCCGTATATAAGACCGTAGTTTTCCAAAGCAATGTCAAACATAATGAAAGGCAAAAGTATCTCGACTGCTGTAAGACCAAAAACAATCAGGAGAACGATAGCCTGAATCAGAGCGCACAGAGCGAGTCGAGATATCGCCGGTTTATCAATGGTCATATCTGAGATAAAGATTTTCTCAGCGTTAGAATTACTGGATGTTACTGACAGGCGTTCAGCAAGAGCTTTCGCTGTTTTACATTCATATAAATCTTGAATTGACACATTTGGAAAAGATTCACGTAATTTGCTAACTGTTTGTGCTGCTGTTAATGAATGTCCACCAAGATCAAAGAAGAAATCGTCATCTTTAGTTATTTCATTGTGTGGAAATGTACTGCGAAATGCGTAGAGAATAATATCGGCTATGTTCCGATTGATGGTTTTATTTGACACCGGTTGCTGTTCTAAAATTAAGAGATATTCTCTATATTAATACTGATCATACTTTTACGTCAACCAAACCTTATCTTTACATACACTTACTTGGACTTTTTGTTATTTCATTTTTGTTTGGACTGTTTCGTAAGGATAAAGAATGAAGTGCTTTACGATCGATTTTTCCACTGCTCAAAAGAGGCATTTTTTCATCGATTGTAATCAATCGATCCGGGATCATGTAACGAGGTATTCTTTTTGTTAATCTCTCACGCATTTTTGCTTCACTTAATTCTCCTACAACATAAGCAATAATTTGTTCGTTTTGAACAGTAACAGCAGCTGATTTAACATTATCTTTCAAATTCAATAGCTCTTGTTCAATCTCATCAAGCTCAATACGGAAACCTCGTAACTTGACTTGAGTATCAATACGTTGGTGGAAAAATATTTGATCATTTTCGAATGTAACTTGATCACCAGTGCGATACCCGTATTCAGTGAATTTTTCTTTTGTTAATTCACTCAATCCAACATAACCACGCGCAATGCCTGGTCCACGAATACATAATTCGCCCGTGCTTGCTGATGTTGGTTGTCCAGTTACTTCATCGAGAAGGCAACAAACGTAATTTGGTAAAGGCCTACCTATACTAATTGGCTTATTCGGATGTACGAGGCTTAAAGTGGCAGCGACGGTTGTTTCAGTTGGACCATAAGAATTATAAATTAAACGATCTTCTCGCCACCAACGATCTACTAACGTCTTGGGAAAAGCTTCACCACCGACGTTAATTAAACGAAGCTTGAGGGCTGGATCATTATTTAAGAGAAGTAGTAGAGTGGGCACCGAGAAAAGAGCGGTTACTGAATGACGAATCAAGAACAGATGAAGACAATCAGTATTCAAAACATCTGACTTCGCAGCAATAACCATGGTTGCACCCGCTAGGTAAGTTAAGAAAGTTTCTTCAAGAAATAAATCAAATGCTGCTGAAGAGCCCTGATAAATAATGTCATCATGTTTAATACTTAAAACTTCATTATCAGCACGCACAAAATGGCAAATGCTTTGATGAGTAATTGCAATTGCTTTTGGTTTTCCTGTTGATCCAGATGTACAAATGATATATGCAATTGACTGATTGTCAATTTGATCTTTTAGATTAATATCAATCATTGATTGGTTTTGAGCGATCGATTGAACATTGAATGATAATGGATGACTGAAATGGGCTCGAGAATCGATTAAAAGAAGATTAGCTTTGAGATCCGACAATACTTCATTAACTCGTTCTTCTGGAATATCGGCATCGAAAGGAACATACGTTGCACCAGTCATTAAAACACCAAGAATTGTTGCATGCAACAACGCTGATCGAGATAGGCAAATGCCTACAATACTACCCGGGCCGATTTGTCGCATATTACGCAGAGTATGAGCGATATTTAGAGCATGTATGCGTAATTGATCGTAAGTTATCTCTTCATTTAGCCAACGAAGAGCAACTTTATTTGGATAATGTCGCGCAGAAACAAGAAAAATATCATGAAGATATTCGTCTTGCAGTAAACTGGGACATTCTGGTCCTGATATTATTGTCATATCTAAAACAGATAAAATACTGATGCTCAATATTGAAAACATGAATACAGGAAATGGAAAATGGCAATCATACGAACTTCATCAGTGTTTCTCACAATCTAGGATGTGGAAGTGAGCATTAGCCTAGGAGAAACGTTGGTTTGTTTAGTCTATGGTATTCAACTAGTAACAATGGTTTAGTATCACTCGAGAATATATTTAAGAGCTGTATGCATGTGCAGTATTATATGCAGTTGCTAAGTAAATGTATGATTGTATATACTAATCACACCCTCCATTTGACGCCTCTTAACGAAATGACTAACTTCGTTAGAGAAAAGGAATGAAGTAATGTGTCTATAGACATAAGCATGCGTACTATGCATGAAAAAACATATCGCCAAACCTACACAAAACGCTTCGTAGGCGTTAAATAGCTTAGGAGTGTAGCAACATGTTGGACAATGGCAATGAAAACTTGAGATATTAGCGTTTGACATTATCAGTACAGCCATAGATGCACTTGCGCTGTTCATTGTTATATTACTCTTAATATCTCGTGTTGACAGTTTTCATGAGAAAGGCTTGAAACAGAACAATATTTTTCCTAATCTGCAGAAAAAAAATCCAAATTGATTAGATATTGCTGTGTACTGAACTGAATAAAAGCAGCGAACTGAGTTAGCTTATGCAAGTATTGAGCACTATGCACATGTTTCTGAAGAGAAATGAAGGGATTTTTATCAAACACGCACCCTCGCGTGTCTCATTGTTCAGAGATTATTCCTGATGATATTATTTCACCTTTTCTCTGTCTATGATTATCTTGTGTTAACGATTGTTCAATCAATTGTTTTGACTTCAAGACGGTCGAGGAAATGAGTTGTCGGTCAAGTGAACCAGACGCTTCGCTTATTTTATGTTCTTTAAGCTTCTTAAATAAACGCCTAGTCGGTCGGCCACTCACGGCTAGCCATTCCAGTGCGTACGCATTTTACTATACTAACTTCATTTGAACGAAGATGTTATCTACAAATGAGGTCATTTCATAAAATCAATTCATAATCGAAAGCTTATAAACTTTACATAGGTATATCATTCTCTGCAAACAGATTTCATTCTTCCCTTCACCACGAAGAACTTTAAAAAGCTGCCAAATATGTTCTTGGAGATCAACGATTAAGTACTACATCTAAAAAATCTTAAGACTTATATGAAAATCTGTTCTTTAAAATATTATACTTCAAATCGAGGACTGGTCGCTGGTCGATCACTCGCTGCTCGCTGCTAGCCGTTACATGTACATTTTCGCTCTTTCACCTAATCTAGAACCACTTTCGAAAACAACACTTGGCAAAGGAAACATTATTTTGACTGACTTGCAGCAGATGATGTTTCTACAATATAGCTGTTTATACAAGTGTCTGATCTCAGTAATATGCTGATGACTATGGGGATCCAGCAATCGGCGCAAGTCAGCTATAAGATTTTGTTCTACATATTACCGCTTAAAACATTATCGTTTACAAAAAGTGATCCTGTGTCGGAAAAAAGGAGACAGAAAGCTTTTATGAAAAAACTAACCTTGGATTTGAGTTCCCCGACCTAGATTACTGTTCGGCCAATCCTTACTACCTACATTAATAATTCATCCCTAATTAGTCTGCAGGTAACTAATTCTAATAAATAGTTTAAAACTTACCCCAGATTCCAGTTCCTCGACCACGATTATTTATCTAGTAGTCGATTTCTAGCTGATAAGGGTAAATTTCGATGATTTAAGAAATCCTTATTTCCTATTGGCTTGTACCAACAAACTTGTACCGATTTTTGACGCAGCTATAACCCTTTCTTTCAGAAAGGGAATATCTATGAAAGCTAATCTGATTGAGAAAAATCCGTTTAATTAGAAAGACAGCAGATATTTGAAAATCTTCCTACTGCGCTTAGGAATAATACGGCGCGACGGCCAGTTGCCCTCTACTAAATATATTATCAGCTCCTCTGTGTTTCTCAAGTGACAAATAAAACCTGTTGCATTTCAATGATCTATCCATCTCATAGTTTGTTTGTCTTTCACTCATGCCCATTTCATTTGCTAAAACACTTCTCATACAAACGCCTAGTCGTTCCCATGACTATCCCTACTATGCCTTTCACTTTTGATTAATTCTCAAAATGACCGACTACGTTTCCCGTCATTCTGGCTTTTAAAGAGTATCCATCATAGTGCCTAATATGTTCAAATTAGTATTTGCCTGGTCGTTGTCCCTATAGGTAATAATATAGAACTACACTCGCGGTCATACTTTTGGAGACCCACTTCCACTAAAATCTTATCGAAAGACAGCACGTGTCGCAGCGTGGAAAAAAAACTATATTAACTTCATACTATTTCTTCTGATATCTTAAATTGTAAATATCATCACGTGAGATATGCCAAAGTCTTTTGGTGCAAATGTCTAAACAACTATCTTCGCACACATTTTGTGGCAAGCATGGACAAGCCAAGTCCAAAACTGTATAAATATATCCAAGTGTTTTATGCAGCTTAGTATTAATTTTAGGGCTAAAAGTATTAAAAAAAACTTTAATTAACAACCATAGAAGAACTTATGGAGTGAATTGACGCCAAATATGGGAAGTGAACTCGATTTTTGTCTTGACTCAAACCAGATCAAGTTGATCTTCGACCTAATTTCAAGTTAAATCAGGTCAAGTCGATCTTCGACCTAATTTCAAGTTAAATCAGGTCAAGTCGATCTTCGACCTAATTTCAAGTTATTTGTGACTCGGCTTGAGCTATGACTTGAATTCGAAGATTTTTATATGTGACTTAACTTGGATCAAAAAGCTGATGCCTTGCACATGCCTGCCTTATAGTGACCAGCCAAGATTATCCTTCTCTTTTTCGTTCTTCTGATACACTGATGCAGAAAGACGAAAAACAAAAGAACATTCTCGGTTGTACTCCATCATACCCAGCCATAGTGCTTAACCTACTATATCCGACACAAATATTTAGCAAAGATTCAGAAACATCTGTTTTGAAAAGAGGTAGGAAGAAGCCGCACCTCAACGAATAAAGAAAAACTAACAGCAGATTCAGGATCTCCGACCTCGATTGCCCTTCGGTCAAACCTTAAGATGATCATCTGTGTTTCATGTATATACTATTTGAACGAAATAAAACAACAGCCGAACGAACTTTAACTCAAATTCTATGTATATCCTCCTTTCAGTAGAGGGAACATGCAAAATGAGCTCGGTACTTGATTTTTTGAGAAAGAAGACAGATGAAAATCGTGTGCACACACCACTCGTCTTATATCAAAAGGTGGTTGTTGATATTCTGTAGGTATTCATGGTACAAACTTTTTTTCTTACGCGCTAGGCGGGTGTGGGCGATGCTCCGCCGGCTCCAAATTGGCAGCGTACCGAGCAGCAGAGTAATGCACAGATGCAAGCATACGGCTCATCTATAGGTACATTATGTAAGCAGCAGTCCGCAACTCAATTTTCAGCATAGCTACAAATGCAAAATAATTCTTTATGATCGATTATTTTTACTGCTATGTTTCTGAGTATCGAAGATTACAGAAAGATTAATATCTGTTTCTATATCACTGCTTATTTCTTTGTCGAAAGGAATCATGATGGGTGGGCTATAAAAAATGCCCCTCGCAGTATTTTGCATTTTTCTCACCTATAATTCAAGTTAGAAAACATTATTTTTCTATAGAAAGATTCCTCGTGAAGTTCTCTACAAAATCATAATTAATCTTACATTTATAGAATGTAAGAAAGAACCGTTAAATAAAAAATACTGCGAATATAAAATGTACCTCACTTGCAAAAGGAGAAAACGTCAGGCAAGTGACTAATTTTATGAATGTTTTTTTTAATCGTCGACCGTATATATTCTCAATAAAACTATAGCATAGAATGCAGCGTGAAAACCTCTATCAGATGCATTCATTATTAAATTTAGTTTATATACATGCTTTCTATTTCCCAAATGGTGCGCAGATATTTTTCGAGTTTTCAAGAATGATCATGTTTTCGTCAAGTAGGCCATTGTGCAATTTAAAAGCAATTGATGTATCAGCATAGAATGACTTGTTATGCAAATTGTAAAGCTTTTCAAGACTCATCTGGCGATTTATTCAAATTTATTGTTTTATAAGACATCATGTAGAATAAAGATGAAATTAGAATAAGGAATTTCGAATATATATACGAAGAGATCTCTGGTAAACTAGAAAAGTAAAAAGCGCATGCGTAGACTAAAACTAATGGTGAATCTTGTAATTAGAAATTTTTACGCTGCATCTTTTCATGTAATTTATTATTGAAAGAACGCAAGAAAAAAGCGCTGATCATTTGTAAAACAGTTGTTAGCTTTAAAGGTGAGGTGCATTTTATGTTCGCAGTATTTTTAATTTAACGATTTTTTCTTACATTCTACAAATGTAAGATTAATTATGATTTTGTAGAGAACTTCACGAGAAATCTTTCTATAGAAAAATAATGTTTCTAACTTGAATTATAGGTGAGAAAAATGCAAAATACTGCGAGGGACATTTATTTACAGCCCACCCATCATGATGAACTCGAAAATATACAGTAGTGTCAAACTTGAAACTTGAAACTTTAATTCAAGTATTCTAAGTATTCAACTATTTGCGCACCCGTCCCACACCCTTACTTTGATATTGAAGGTTGTGAGGGTGGGTGAGGGTGTGAAGACATGAGGACGTGGGTGAACATTGTTAACATTCGGATATCATCTAAATCGACACCTATATCCTCAGCTTTGCACTAAAAAATAGTTTTTTCGAACAAAAATCATCAACATTTTCAGCTAAAAAGAGGGCGCTGAATAAAAAATTATGATATCTGAAAGAGCTGAAGATGGGCTATCTTCTCATGCATTTATCTTAATTTCCAGAGTTTTTACGAAAATTGACTTTTTTGAGTGAGGGAGGGGGAGGAGGAGGGTAGGTGGTGGCCTATAGAAA